ATTGTCTATTTGCTCCATACATTTACTCATTCTTTCCTCATCTCTATTCTTCAGCTCAATCTCTTTCTAATCCTTTATTCTTCTTTCAGCTTAATCTCTTTCTAATCCTTTTTAAAGACAGCTTTGGAACTATTCCTTTTTGTGATAAACTTTTGATGGACACAAGGGATTTCAGTATGCATCATATTCTACTTAACGTTGATTCACTTAATAAAAATATAAGAAGCTTACCCTTATATAATTTTAATACAATAATTTTAATAATAAAATATTTTATAGCACATTTTCAAATACTGTGCATGCACAGTATGTACTATATATGCTATAATATAAGGGCTTTGTTGTTAGAGGGAACATCCAGCCCCAGGACCTGAAATCATTTGTATGTGACAAGGGCAGACACATATGTTTTTGACTGGCTATAATTTGGTGCATGCTGAAAATGATGTCATGAATATCCAAGTAGTCCTTAGAGGAAAAATGTCTTCTACTACGCTAGTTGATTGTCTTCATTATAACATTTGTCCTCCCCATTTCTTCCATGTCATTATGTTCCGTCCTTAGCAACTGCAATGCTTCTGAAAGGTTTTTATTTTTATTTTTGGTCGGTTGTGGGGCTTGAACTCTGGGCTTGGGCACTGTCTCTATGCTCTTCAGCTCAAGGCAAGTGCTCTACCACTTGAGCCACAGTGCCACTTCCGGTTTTCTAGCGGTTTATTGGAGATAAGAGTCTCATGGACTTTCCTGCCCGGGCTGGCTTTGAACTGCGATCCTCAGATCTCAGCCTCCTGTGTAGCTAGGCTTACAGGCGTGAGCCACCGGCGCCCGGCTCTGAAAGTTATTTTCTTAAAGGAGCCTCTAAGCCAGAAGTCAGCAAACTTTTCCAGTTAAAGGAAGATGGTAACTACTCTAAGCTGTAAGATGGTGTTGAATAACTCAGTCCTACTACTATAGTGAAAAAGCATCCATGGTACCTAACTTAATGACTGTGCTCCATGATCTAGATCACTTGTAGTAAATAGTAGGAGTTCTCATTTCTTCTTTGTAATTCTGAAATCCTCAGAACTCTGAATATCATGTTTTTTTTTATCAAGTGATAACACCTGATCTGAATTATTATTAGGGCATTTATAGTCTATTTATAATACCTACTATGAATATTCATATGTTTTGGTGCAGAAATATTAATATATTGATTAAGGATTACCACTTTATTGCATTGGTGGAATTATATTACTAGTTACAAGCTTCTAAATTAAAAAGTTCTGGATTCTGTAGCACTGACAGCACCAACAATTTTTATTAAAGAATTATTGCTGGACAGTATATACTAACAATACATGAGATTTAAAAATAATGATTTGAATATATTAGAGAAATTTTCAAAAATGTGTGCCAATATGGCAAGCTATCTCTCTCAACTTCCTCTTAAGATTCTGGAAGTTTAGGAGAGTTTCTTATTATGCAGGCATCTCTGTTTTCTTTCCCAATTGGGAGTCTTCTTGATTCAATGGAGCAGTAACCTTTACTCCACAAAAATATCAATATCAGTCCAGGACATTTCTTAAGAAATGTCTTTGTGATTTTGATTAATTGGCTGGCTACTGTAAGTGAGGAAATAAAGCCCGAAAGACCAAGTTAGAATCTTAACTCTATCATTTGCTAGACTATGTCTTAGGGTGAGTCATTTAACTTTTGTGATTTTGTATAGCTGGAAAAGAGAATAATAATACTACTTACACCAGAGTTCTAAACAGTAGAGCATGTAGCTTAGTCCTTAACTCAGAATATGTACTCAAAAATAATTTTTGAGGCAGTCTCATTGTTGTCCAGCCTGGTTGTGAATAGTTATTCTTAAAAAAAAGTAATACAACTAGATCCAGGTAAATTGAGAAGGATGGGTAGGAATGGAAAAGAGGAGGAGGTGATGAAAAGGTTAACACTGATTATGATATATTGTACTCACAAATGACATGTTAAATTGAAACCCCTTTGTACATGTACTTAAATAAATCATCATTAGTTTGAAAAAAAATGAGTTTCAACCCTTTCTTCCTGGGTCTGGTCCATGACATCAGAGGCCAACTCTGATCATTTATTAATGCTTTAGTGGAATACTCCAACTTAATATCACAGTGATAAACTTGAAACAATCATGAACTCAAGGAAATTGTTTGCAAAATGTTCATATGTGTATATGTATATATACACGTGTGTGTGTATATATGCATATATATATATATATATATATATATGGAATTTTACCTGAGTCCTGCAGGAATTTGAGCTCCAATAGAGTGAAGAACCAGTGACCTGAAAGTCCTCACATTATAGCACGTTTGGAGTATAATTATGAGGCAAGCAGTGATACTCTGGTTAATGTAAGAAAATTTCTCACCAGATGGGGCTGGGAAGGTGGCTCAGTGGTAAAGCGCTTGCCTTGCATGCTTGAGGCTCTGGGTTCGATTCCTCAGCACCACATAAACAAAAAGAAAAGAAGCCGGAAGTGGCGCTGTGGCTCAAGTGGTAGAGTGCTAGCCTTGAGCTGAATTGCTGAGGGACAGTGCCCAGGCCCAGAGTTCAGGTCCCACGACTGGACCCCCCCCCACAAAAAAAAAAGAAAAGAAAAGAAAAAGAAAATTTCTCACCAGAATCCAGTCACCTAAGAGATTTTTCTCACTATCGGGTTTGTAGATTGCCATACACATGTCTTGAAAACCTTTTAATGGATAGAATTGCTGTTACTGTCTATTAGCAAGTCCTGGGCTGAGGAACGTAAATTCCTAAGAGAAGAACACAGGACCAGGAAATCCATGTACAACTAGTTCAGAATCTGAAGACTGAGTTCATGTGTCAACTTGCCCTGAGAATATTTATGCCATTTATGTAGTTTCTTTTGACTCTGAGAAAAAGCTTCCAACTCTCACCACCCAATATACACTAAATAGTCAAAATAATAGAAAATAAAATGTAAGAAGGCAGCCCATCTTGGCAAACAGCCTGATTGGGGCAGTACTTCCACATCTTTAGAACAGAGAACATATCCATGTTTTCCTTTGGCTGTGAGTTATGGAACTAACTGTTATTTTGTGATGGTGACAGCTGTATCCAGGACAAGCTCCAGCTTACCTCAGGATTCAGAAATGTGCTAAACCAAGATTGCTGGCAGAAAGTGTGCATTAAAAGGGTATGAGTTGTAGAGGGAATTGTGAGGCCTCTTGGCAGGATCAACTACAGAGTATGCAGCCACTTTGCCAAACACAGCTGTTGAGCATAGCTGGCCCTTGAAGAGCATTGGGAATTTGTATTGGGATGGAAAGACTCTGATTCACTGGTACAAAGCAGAGTCAGTGTCTAGCTTTGTTATAACTTGGAATAAAATTTCAGCAAATTTCCCTTCCTTGATTAAAAGTGTCTGTGTAGCTTAGCATTGATGGATATAAGCTCTAGAAGCTGAGATCTGAAAATTACAGTTATAAGCCATCCCAGGGAAGGAAAATTTGTGACTCTTAACTCCTAAGAGATTTAAAAAGAAAGAATGGAAGAAAAAAGAAAGGAAGAAAGAAAGGAGAAAGAGAGAAAGAGAGAGAGAAAGAAAGAAAGGAAGGAAGGAAGGAAGAAAGAAAGAAAGAAAGGAAGGAAGAAAGAAAGAAGCAAGACAGAGGTGGTGTTGTAGCTCAAGTGGTAGTGTACTAATCTTGAGAATAATAGCTAAGGGACAGTGCTCAGGTCCTGAGTTCAAGCCCAAGCACCAACACACACACACACGCACACACACACACACACACACACACACACAAGCTGTAGTGTAGACCCACTTAAGAATTTGGCTAGACTCCAACTTCCTTCATTTGTAATAATTAGTATATGTCTAGGATAGTCCTAGAAGAGGATCACAATAGCCAATAACTATGTACATATGACCATATAAGATGATGCTAAGCAAAATGTACTACAAGATATGGAAACAAGAGGTTTTTCTTTGTTGTTTTTAATGTACTGTGTGAAGATATTTCTTTTTTCTTTCTTTTTTTCTTTTTTCCCCCGCTCTGGCTTATCCCTATTGTCACTGCATTTGTTTTTGGTATCCTGGTATTGCATTTGATTTGGGGAAGCTTAGAAGGGGAACAACAGAATGGTGAGATAAAGGACAAAGGGCAAACCAATGCAACAGCGATACTCACAAGAAAATATGTTGGAAATGAACTTTATAACTTGGGGGGGGTAGCATCAGAGGGGAGATAGTGGGAGAAAAATGAGGGAGGAGGTAACAATGTTCAACAAGAAATGTACTAATTACCTTACATATGTAACAGTTACCCCTTTGTACATCACCTTGACAATAAAATTAAATAAAAAAATTGAGAGTATGTAATAGATGTGAATAATTATAGTTTTGGATGCCTAATGATTTTTTTCTAAAGGCTTACCTACCATTATAAGTTTTATATTTCTTACCACCTTCCTATAAATAATGAGAAGTGAAATTTCAGAGAAAAGGTAAGTTAGTGTTCAGTCAGGGAGAAAGGCATTCAGCTGAAGGATAACAAAATAAAATATGAGTTATGACTCACTGTAGGAAGAGCAAATAATCTAAGAGTATCTTAGTCCTTTTTCTGGACCAACTGAAAATTGAATTGTTCCTACTTCAAAATAGTTCTATGACCCAAGAAGGTGTAGAGTATAGGAAATAACATGATAAACATAGACTAAGGAACCGTAGAGACAGCTTTTGTTTGTCTATAATAAATTGAGGCTTTTGCCTCTAAGTTGTGGTCTTTGGAATGTGGTGATAATTTCAAAAGTACATTTGGGTCATAGGCATCCATGGGTTGGTCACATTGATTGAGATATCTCAATCTCTGTCTTTGCTCACTTTAAGATATCAGCCCTAGTGAAATATCACTAGGAAGCATCAATAACCAGGGTGGAGAGGAACTCAGGATGCAGAGTGTTTTTGTTCAGGCTGTATTGTCAATAGAGGAGAATCATAACAATACCTTCCTGGAGAGTCTCCATTCTCATCAAATAGGATCATGTCTCCAGAAACTCCAGTGAAATTGGTTTTCATTAAGGAGTCCAAAAGTTTCCGCCCATCAATTGGTTTCATTGCATCACAGAGTCCCGCGTAGCCAGGGCACAGGGACATCTGCATGTTGTGGAGGCCATAGGCCATGGAGTAGATTGCATTGATCACAAACCCCATTTTAGAGTCTTGAACATGATGTGTTCTGAGAGTCAGGGAACCTGTTGGGAAACAAAATCAGGATAAATATTGAAATTTAATTCCATTGACATGAACTACTTTCATGGATCCTGAACCGTTATGGAATGTACTCCCATAACTTGTCAGATTTAGAACCAGAGGCAATATGAAGAAACAATTTTAGCTGGGCACTGGTGGCACATGCCTCTACTTACGAGGCTGATAGCTCAGGATTGAAGTTTGAATCCAGCCTAGGCAGGAAAATTCGTAAGATTCTTATCTCTAGTTAGCCACCAAAAAGTCAGAAAGCTCAAGTGGTATAATGCCCCAGCTCTAAGCTAAGGTTCTGTGCAGAGGCTTTGAGTTACTAGAAAGAAAATTTAAAAAATACAAGAAAGAAAGAAAGAAGAAAGGAAGGAAGGAAGGAAGGAAGGGAGGAAGGAAGGAAGGAAAAGCAAAAAAGAACAATAAAGAAAGAAAGAAAATGAACAAATGCTAATATATTGTTCCCTACAATAACAAAGCACATTTTTTTGCAGTAATCAAACCTTGGAATAGATTCAGAAGGGTGTTGCATTTCTCTACTACAGAATTTATCCAAAGGTCAGATTCATTTCTCTGGTGTCTTCTATGATAGTAAGCCTTATTGGTTCAGAAATCCCCAATAAATGTTCTATTTCCAAACTATTAATTCCTCTTTGCTGAGCAAATTATCATCTATCAACTATCTTCTGTCATATGGCTTCAACTTACCTATGTGATCTTTGTATTACTCACTGCTTTTAGGCCCAAAGCATAAATTGGCCTGTTTGGAAGTTATGAAATGTAACAATCAAATCCCATTAATTAAATAAATATTTGTTGAGGTCACAGTATACATAAAACTGTGTGTAATTGACAATCTAGAGAAAAACCAAAGATGAATGGATTCTCCACTCTAAGAAACTTGTTAACTAACAGCTGTATTATGAATGATCTACTTTTCCAAATTCAATCAATTTAGGGCAGTATGTTGGAGGGCAGAGGCAGCCGTGGTGCATATGCATCGTGTATCATCTTTGAGGACTAAAAAAGAGACTGAATCTTAGAAAGAGATTGAAATTAACTACTTTCATGGATCTTCAACCGTTATGGAATGTACTGCCATAACTTGTCAGATTTAGAACCAGAGGCAATAAGAAGAAACAATTTTAGCTGGGCACTTAGGAGGCTGATAGTTTAGGATTGAAGTTTGAATGCAGCCTAGGCAGGAAAATCTATAAGATTCTTACTACCTACTTCTGTAGGTAGTAAGGTAAGAGAATAGTAGAGGCTGTATAGCTGTAGAGTATTTGCTGGGTTACATTAAAAAATGTGTTTCTTGGAAAATGAAATGAGCATCAAAAAGGGAGCAAAAAATGTATGGAATGATATAATAGAATTCAGAGGAAGTATGGGAGCTTATAGTCCAGTATGTCTTAAAAGCAGAATAAACAGGATGTGCCAATGGATTGGGTGTGGAGTACTTAGGGAAAAAAACAGAATCAAGGATCAGTCCAGGTCTTAAGTTTGCACTGGTGGCTTTCAGAGCCATTGCCTAACAAGTCAGAAATAGACAGGATGTAGGAGTAGGGGGGCGGCTCAAAAGTGCAGTTTGACTTTTAATAAGTAACTTGACCAAAATGCCATAGATCAGACCAAAGATATTAGTAGCTTTGCTTCATAGACACAGAAATAGAGAAGATGAAGACACATTTTGAAAATAGCACAGGTGTGATTAAGTGGTTAGATATTTTTCAGATACTAGATTCCTTGATGATTTGCTGATTATGCCTTTGACTTCTTTGTTCTCTAAGTTGCTACCCTTAGTCACCTTGTAATTCTTTACTTTTTTCAATGCTTCAAATATCACACTCCGTGAGGATTCCCCAACACTAATAGAGTGCTAGGCATTATTTTCAATGCTATGCAGATGTTGATCGATTAATTCTTAAACAATGAAGTATGTATTATTTTAGGAGAGAATCAGCCATGGAGCAATGAAGTGATTTACCTAATGTCACAGAGCTACTAAGCAGTAGATTATACCATCTATATCTGGAGTCTGTGATTACAAGAAGTATACTCTGCAGACTCTGAAATCTAACGGACCTCTCAGACTTACTGAGACAGAGCAACCTTAACATTTGATAAGAAGTTGAGCTTGTTCTGTACTTTATTCAGCTTTTTCCTACAATCTTACCTTGGGTTTTCAGAATTCCCTAAATTTTTTAAGTACCTGTATATTTATATTTCTTTCTTTCTTTCTTTCTTTTTTTTTTTTTTGTCAGTCTTGGGGCTTGAACTCTGGGCTTGGGCATTATCCCTGCACTATTCAGGTCAAGGCGAGTGCTCTACCGCTTGAGCCACAGCGCCATTTCCGGTTTTCTAGTGGTTTATTGGAGATAAGAGTCTCATGGACTTTCCTGCCGGGGCTGGCTTTGAACCATGATCCTCAGATCTCAGCCTCCTGAGTAGCTAGGAGCCACCGGCTCCCGGCTTGTATATTTATATTTCAAAATTAAACTTAAAAAATTATCTTTTTTCTGAAATATTATTACTTTTGTTAATAAATATATAATCACATAGATATATAAATTATCTATATAATAATTAACTATATAGATAGATATATAAATTACCTATATACGTTTATTTATGTATTTCTATATTAGTTCTAACTTGTATATATGACAGAGCTAACCATGGAAGTATCCTACTTATATATTTTGAATGTAGATACTTAATATCCTTCTAAACCACAGTTAGTTACTCAGTTAAAACCAGTCAGTTAATGAAATATTATACTTCCTAAGAACCCTGCCCTATCTATAGATGATTTTATGGCTCTGGCTTCATTTTATTTCTTCATTTTACCCATTGTATTCTATTACTCCTGTAATTAGAGATTGTTCATGACTCTCCACTACCCAGAATTAGGTCTTCTTTTTCTGGCTTCATCCTAACACTAAAAACATCCTACACAGAAATTGTGTGTTTGCAGTTCTCGCTTTGATGTAGGATTAAAGCTTTGCTTTGTCTTGTGTTGTGGATGGGATCTGCCCCTGGCTTCTGGGACACTTTGGACTTTCTGAGGACAAAGGTCTTTGTTGTTCACAACTGTTGTAGCCCCTGTACCTCAATGGCACCTGACATATGACGGGCACTACTAACGTATATTGAGTACAAGAGTGAGGCCAGATACCTTACAGCATATCCTCAACAGTGTCCCAAAATACTTCATCTGGTTCTCAGATGAACAAATTAGTTTACTATAAGCCATTTATTTGTAGAATGGCATTCACTTAATCACGACTAAACATCTCCAAGTTACAAAAGGATTTGTTAGGTGGACTTGTACATCCATGTAAATCCCATGTATTTTTCCTTTCTGAGAAAACTACAGGAAAGTTGTGGTCCAGTAAATATGGTAGAAGAGTAGTGTAGTATCTCTAGTGGAATGTAACGGGATTCTTTGGACAGAATGGCTAGACCACCAGAATAAGAAACAGAAAGGTAACAAGTCATTTCAGGTTACTTTCTTAGATTTGTTTTCCTCCAATATCTTAAAAATTGAACTCAATGAAGTACAAAAGGTAAAAGCAGAAAGGATCCAAGCAAACCTGTTGTCTGTTTCTAAACTGACAATATTTGATAAACTAATTGATAGAAGTCAGAGAAAAAAACATTTTTGTTTTCTGCCCACTCTGCCCTGTAAAGGTAATGATAGCAGATTACAGAGACAAAGGCCACGGAGGCTGAGAAGGCACTGATAATTCTAAAGGTGAGATTTCTCTGTGATCAAAGGAAGTGTGCCTCATGATTTTGAAGAACTTCCCTGGTGATTTTTCTTCATTTTCATTTTTCTAGCTTCATCTCACTTTCCTCCTTTTCAGTGAAGTAACATGAACAGAGAATGTTGAACAGAGAATGTGAGGCCGAGGAAGAAACTGGAATCTCCTCTTTCTTGCCAGAGGACGAGAAGTAGGTGGGAGAGCTTGGACCCTGGAAGAGGTCAGGACCATAGAAGGGGGAGCATGGCAAAATGATCTGTCTCATTGAATATGAATTCCTAGGTCCCACTGAGTTATACAGGTGTGGATTTTACCCTACTCAGCATATCAGAGTTCTGAGAACTAAACCCTGTGGCACAATACTGCTTCTGTCCAAGACTAAGATTGGTGAATTCTACAAAGGTTGGAGCCTTGTGGAAGGAAGGTGCATATTTATAGACAAAAGCCAATCAAGTGAGTTAGTTACTGTTCAAAAATTCTCTTAAAATGCAAAGAACTTGAAAATACCATTTTATTTAAAATTTGGAGAACCCTGCAATGATACTGAAAGAGAATTTGCTTGATTCAAGTAGAAGTGATATTACAGACCCATCAGCTTTTATTTTATTTTTTAAATTAAAATTATCTGTAAGTAGTTGTACAAGGAGATTTCAATTCAAGAAGTCAGTTTATAAATACAGTGTATCTTGATCAATGTCATTCTTTCCATTCCCCTCCCCCATCTATCCTAACCTCACCCAACCCCCCCCCAAATTATCTGGTTTCATTTTCACATATGTACATTGCATATTAAGGTGTATTCACCCACCACTCTTCTGTCCATTTTTCTGCTCTTGGCTCTCCTTGACCTTTCCTCCCTTTGACAACATGTTTCAGCTTCCTGGTATTCATTTGATTAAACTATAAATTAGTTGTTTAAAGGAAATACACCATTTTACTCTTTCCCCATGTACAGCATACATACTGTGGTCAGTATGTTTGTGTATAAATGTATATGAAAGATCATATGCATATATGTTTTCATATATATTTATACTTTAGAACTTCCACATATGAAGGAAAACATGTCCCCTCCTCTTCCTCCTCCTCCTCTTCCTCCTCCCCTTCCTTCTTTCCTTCCTTCCTTCCTTCTTTCCTTCCTTCCTTCCTTCCTTCCTTCCTCCCTCCTTCCCTCCCTCCCTCCCTGTCTCTCTCTCTTTCTCCCTTCCTTCCTTCCTTCCTTCTTTCTT